ATGTCAAACATCAGAGGTAGAGACTTCAAGAATTGATGAAAAATTCTATTTAATATCATGAAGAATATGTCAGTTATTCAAACCCTTTATATATTTTTTATTTTAGAAAGAGGCTCTTTTAATTATTTATGTATATTTTTGTATTCATAATTTTATGTTCTACTTAATTTTTAGTAACATAGTTTGGAATTAATAATATCATTATTCTGATAATTTTATTATTTTAAAATAAAATTAATATTTATTAGATCATCCAGTTCAACCGGTCGAATGAACATCTCCTTTTTTCCGGTTCGTTATCTAATCCGGTTTTCACGTTCTTGCTTAACATCACTTGGAGATCCTTTTAAGGGAAAATTATTATGAGCGGCATTCAGATTCGTCCGGAGGCGAATCCGGACGTGCCACATCATCCAGGACCCGGTTCATCTAGGTGATGTGGCGCGTCCAGATTCGCCTCCGAGCGATCCGAACACCACACATAATAATCTCTCGAAGCAAAGATATATTAAATTGAATGGCAATCTCTCTCTCTCTCCCTCCCTCCAGCATTTTGCGTCCTACCCTGTATGCAAGGTCGCAGCTTCCTTCCTCCACGTTCCTCTTTGCTAATTATTCTTCTTCTTTAATTATTTATTGTACCAGTGAAGTGCAGAATTATTTCTCTTTGATATATAGTATTGAAAAACAAATAATTTCCAACCTAGAATGCCACTGTAGAGATACTTTCACTATGCAAAATGACATCGTATAGCACTGGCAAGATTATATGCCCTCTCCTACATGTGAAAAATAAGTAGCTTTTTCTTAGGATGCTTGCTCATCATTCCTTGTACGGATATTAGTTAAAATTCATGAACATGAAAAATGACAGTCCTCGTCCATTTAAAATATTGGCAAAATCATTGCAGTTCTGATCAGCTTGTTTCTGCTATAAATATCCAAGAGCCTTCAATCTCTTTTCGACATTGCATATGCCCAATACTGTTTTCTTTGGTCCCCAATGGATATTTCCATTTCTATAGCAAGATTTCTCCCACTCTTCTTATTCTTTAATATTGCTTCTTCTCTCCCAGTTCACGAAAAGCTTTCGCTGCCTATTAGTGAAACAATCGCCTTTCAAAATCATCAAGTCTATATTGTTCATGTTAAAAAACCGACAGCCAAAAAGTTCCATCTGTTCAAACATAGAAAAAGTTGGTACCAGTCTTTCTTGCCCAACAACACCCTCTTCTCTGGCGAGCCACGCCTCGTCTACGCTTACCGCCAAGTGATCACTGGATTTGCCGCTTGGCTTACCAAAGGTGAGTTGAAGTCCATGGAATCGATTGAGGGATTTCTCCTAGCTCGCCCAGATGCTGCCCTCCAACACCGTACAACATACACCCCCAAGTACCTTGGACTCGATAGGGCACAAGGCATGTGGTTTGAGTCCGGGTATGGCCAAGGCCAAATCATTGCTGTTATTGATAGTGGGGTGAAGCCCACCCACCCTTCCTTCAATGGACATGCCTTGCCGCCGCGTCCTACCAAATGGAATGGCTCTTGCTATTGGGGCTCACCAATCTGCAACAACAAACTCATAGGTGCACAGGGCTTGAGGCTAGGCTCAGACGCACCACTCGACACTGAAGGCCACGGCTCCCATTGTGCAGGTATTGCCGCCGGCAACTTCGTCGATCATGCCAATATCCTTGGCCAAGCTCCAGGCACGGCCGCCGGCATTGCACCGAGGGCCCATCTTGCTGTCTACAAGTTAGCCAGTGCAGCCGACTTACTGGCTTCTATTGATGATGCAATTCGAGACAACGTTGATGTGCTGTCCATTTCCCAAGGCGATACTAGCCCAGAATTCTATCTCAATGGGATTGTAATCGGTTCCTATGCAGCTATGAAAAAGGATATCGTTACTTGCGCGTCCGCGCCCAACTATGGCCCAAGCGAAAGTACCATGGACAATGATGCCCCCTGGATTATAACTGTCGGTGCCGCCTCAACTGACAGAAGAATTATGGCTACTGTAAAGCTTGGCGATGGACGAGAGTTCAATGGTGAATCTGCTTATCAACCAAGTAATTATGGCTCCCCACAATTGCCGCTGGTAGAAGTCTTAAGATGCTTTGGAGACAATCTTCTCGATGTGAAAGGAAAGATAGTTCTTTGCAAGTCAGGAGTAAATGATACATCAACCGGTGAACAAGTCAGCAAAGCTGGAGGGGCTGCTATGATTATAATCGGCACCGATGGAAACACTACATTTGCACAGCCTCATGTGCTCCCAGCCTCATTTGTGACCAGTTATGCAGGAAAACAGCTCATGGACTACTCAAATTCTGAACCTAATCCGACAGCATCTATCATCTTTAAAGGTACACAATTTGGTGTCCAGCCATCACCAGAAGTCGCGTCATTCTCGGGTCGAGGCCCAAGTAATTGGAACGGAGGTATCATAAAGCCTAATGTAATCGCACCAGGCGTTAACATCCTCTCAGCTTGGCCATTTGAGATCGGCCCAAACCACACCAACACTCGCTTAATATTTAGTTTTCAAAGTGGTTGCTCTATGGCCACCCCACATGTGGCTGGTCTTGCTGCTCTTCTCAAGAACAACCATCCAGCGTGGTCTGTTGCAGCAATTATTTCGGCAATCATGACTACGACATATATTACTGACCAGAATGGGAAACCATTTTTAGATGGATATGATGGGAAGAAAGCAAGTGTTTTTGCTACAGGATCGGGTCACATCAACCCAGTGGCAGCTAATGATCCCGGCCTCATATATGACATTCAACCTCTTGACTACATTCGTTATCTATGTGGCTCAAATATGTTTGACGATAAGCAAGTAAATGCCATAATTCGGGGAAACATTACTTGCTCTACTATTCGTGACATCAAAGTTGAGGATTTGAACTACCCTTCCATTTCAGTATCTCTTGGTATTAACGATGACATAAAAACTGTGAGCAGAACAGTGATGAATGTTGGCGATGCTGACACTATCTACAATGTGGATTTTGAAGAGCCCAAAGGTGTGAATATCGTGGTTTCGCCAACAGTCCTTCACTTCAACAAAGTAGGGGATAAGAAGAGTTTTAACGTCACACTAAACTATAAGAGCAGTGTTCCCATACCAGTAGGTGAAATTTCAGAAGGACAGTTATCTTGGGTTTCTGGTAAATATCTCGTGAGGAGCCCAATTGCTGTCACAGCCATTATTGCTCCCCGTATCCAGAACGTAGCACGCTTCAATAATATGGGGCATGTTAAAGAAAATTAATCTCAAATATGAAATAAAGCTAAAAAAAATATGTTTAAATAAGTCAGTTTGTGTTCAAGGAAAAATAATTTCATATTTGGTTTACTATTAGCAAAATGTATAAACATTAATATATTAAGTGTTAGTGTTTTTTTTTTAATCCAACTTCATTCAGATTCATCTTTTATTTTATAATTAAATCTGAAATAGTTATAGGTGTACTTTATTGATTTCCTTGAAGTTGTTGTTCAATAAACACAACAGAAATAACACAAATTAGAAATCGCACAACAAATAACACAAAGAACATGACAATAATGTGATTCGACGAAGATGCCTACTTCTACAGGGAAGGAATGATTTCACTACGTTGGAGAACAATAGGGAATTATAGTATCTCTCAAGCTTTCTCTCTTAATCTCTCATGTAGCCTTTAAACCTCAATTTATAAAGATTTAGGAAAACAAAATAGGAAAAACAACCTAATTTATGCATCAATTAAATCCGAATCAATTCCCAATCAAATCAACCTAATCAATTACAATAATGAGTCATTTAAAACTTTTCAAACAAAAGGTTATTTAAATTTGGAAAGCTTTCCAAATCAAATGAGGTAGCTTAGAATAGCCATTGGTACTCGCTCTCTATTTTCATTTATAAATATATGTAAAAACGACTATAATATGGGTCTTGAAAGCTCTACATACAAAAAAAAAACATTCACTTCACCTCCTACATATTGGTGCAAGAAAGAGTTCTTCTTGTTTTGTCTCTATTTTCAATCTTTAATTCGTTCTTTATTGTCCGGCGTCAAGAACACGCAAAGGCGTGGTTTTGGAACAATTACTAGGTCCTCCGACCGGACGTTGAGCTACGTCCGGTCGGAGCTAAAATCGCGCCATAAAATGAGAAATACCGAGCAAATACCGAGTAATACCAAACAATAAAGAGGAATACCATCATGTGAAGACCTAATACCGAGTTATGCCGAGCTATGCAGAGCAATACCGAGTTATACAAAAAAATACCGAGTTTTTTCTAGAAAAAACTCGGTATTTTTTGTATTACTCGGTATTGCTCGGTATAGCTCGATATAACTCGGTATTGGTCTTCACAGAGCGGTATTCCTCGTTATTACCAAATAATACCTAGCAATACCGAGCAAATACCGAGTTTTTTTGGCGGGATTTTAGTGCCGACCGGACGTTCCTCTACGTCCGGTCGGAGGACCTAATAATTGTTCGTGATTTTGGGGTCATTTTGTTCATTGGCCCAAAGGAAGTCTTCAAGCACACACGAATGCTTTTTTTTTTTTTTTAAGCACACACGAATGCTTAGTTCACTCTAGAGTTCGAGACGGCTCGGTACACTTTGGCTTCTTCCATACGCCTGAAGGCCTTTTTATTTATTAAACAGCAAGCAGAAGCCCGTCTTCTAAGATATGCCAGAGTTCAGCCAACAAGAAATCGTGAGATTTCCCGGTAGGTTTTTTGGTTGAATCACAACAGTAAGACATAAAATTTCATTGTAAGAAGAATCTATAAACATTAATATAATAAGACATAAAATTTAGATGCATTTTTAATGACAACTCATTATAAAAGAACTTAATGTCAAGTTAAAAAATAAATAAAAGAAACCAACCCTGAAATAACAACTAACTCAAAATTTAAGAAAACTCTAAACAAGAACTTTAGCTTCATATAGATATCAAATTAATGAAATAACTTGTAGTGAAAGGTCTGCTCCTAAATTGTTGTGGGCTATAGTATTCGTGTCGGTGAAGTACGAAAAACTTTACGCCTTAGCATTGCATGAGTATTCAGCATATAAACAGAGAAAAAAGAAATAATACAATTTTTTACGTGGAAAACCTTGAAGGGAAAAATTATGGGGCCACACTAAGTTAAAATGATTCCACTAGTGTTTAAATAGATTACAAATGATTGTTTTGTTCTTGAAATTGGAGACGGTCATATTACAACAGGCAATCGTATGGTTAAAATCTAGTGACGAACAGAGATCGGATGGAAATCCGACAACGTTCATTGGTTGGATGAAAATTCAGCATCAGTTGGTAGCTAGGCAATGTGTGGCGACAATTGGTGGTCAGGTGGAAATCAGACGTCAATCAGTGGCCTGGTGGAAATCCAATATTAGTCTGTGGTTGGGTAAAAGTCCAGCGGCAATTGGTGATTGGGTGGAAGTCCGGCATCAGTCAGCAATCGGTCGGAAGTCTATCATCAGTTAATGTCAAAGAAGTTCGGCAATAGTTTGGTGAAGATCGGTGGTCAAGGAGTCTAGTGGCTAGAGAACTTTGATTTCTCTCTCTTCATTCTCTTTCTTGCTTGAGTCTCTTTCCATGAAGAATGAGAGATCTATTTATAGTTTTCTAAGAGTGGCATGACAAGTAAATATGAGGGAGATCAAGAGTACGTTGGGAGTGGTTTAAATGGATGGTCGATATTGATACCCTTGATTATGGACCATTTGCTAGGTATTTGTATGTCTTAATGATATCAGAATTTGATAATATTGAGCTCATTGGATTCATCTCATTGAGCCTCTAGATTCGACTATAAGCATGCACAGGGGGGGGTTGTTGATAAGAAAAAAGAAAATTTGTGTAGCTCCTTTGCCGTTGAGCACGGCCCAATCTCTTCCAGGCCACTGACTGTTACTAGACTTTAGTATGTTCGTCGACCACCACCGAATCTCTTCCCGACCATCGACTATCATTGGACTTTCGCTGGTTTGTCAGGTTCTGCCATATCTCTTCCTAACCACCGACCGTCTCCATACTTCTGCTCGTTTGTCGACCATCGTTGAACTTCCGCCCGTCCATTAACCACCTCTGAATCTCTTCCTAACCATTAATGATCATTGTTGGACTTTTTTTCGTTCGTGGGCCACTGCCTAACTTCTTCGCTATCATTAATCATTGTCGGACATCTGCCTATTCATTAAATATCACCGGATCTTTGACCGTCACCAGACCTCTACTGAACATTCTCCTTATTGTTGATACTTGGTTTTTGATATTTGTCATATCCATCTAAAATTTAGCAAGAATTTCTACATATTATATTCACATTGTCCCTGGGTTGAAGAAAAAGTTTTTTTTTCCTAGTATGCTAATTTACATTCCCTGAACAGATACTTATCGAAATTCATGAACATGAAAAATGACTTCCTTTGTTGTACATTCAAACTGTTATACCACTACAGCTCCTAACTTGTTTCTCTTACATAATTCCAAGAGCATTTCTGCAATCTAGATTATAAAATCCCTTCCTTTTTTTTTTGTTCTTCTTCTATAATAGTTCTTAGATTATCAAACCGTCTTGGGGACTACTTGCCTAGCATGAAAAGTTATCTTTTAGACTGGAAGATGGCCCTTCGACACAATGTCGTCGGTTGTAATAGCTGAGGATCACAATGGCATCATCAACAAAGTTTCCAATTGCAATACTTGCACAATGAGTTCTTGGGGCGGGCCTTGTTGAATACTCAATCAAAGAAAGTTGCCAAGAAACCGAGAGTTGGGCAAAAAGTGAAGAGACACACATAACACTTTTCAAATTATAAAACATGCAAAGAATAATCTGTATTTGGTCATATTTCTCAATTTACTTTATATCCATTTTTATGTAGACTTTCATGCAACTATCGATTCTTATAAATAAAAGGTGAAGGGATGTATTTTAGATCCCTTTAGACACATTTAGATCTTTTTATGACTAAAAGTTTTTCTTGAGTGAAACAAATTTCAGGTTCTGTATCTCATCTCTCTCAAATCATCTTAGCGTCGTAAGAACCCATCTTTAGTCTCCATGTTCTCTTCAAAGAGTGAAACCACGTATCATCAATGAGAAAATTTTAATCTAATAGTAACCATTATTTTATATACATGTATATAATTCAGTGCCCAGCTCTCATCGATTTTTGCTACCTTTTATAATGGAGGAATTATAAAACCTAACAGTCAAGCCTTCGAACATCAACATTCTCACGCCATGGCCATTTGAGATAGGTCTAAATCACACTAGCTTGAATTTAATGCTTTGTTTGCAAAGAAGATGCTCCATGGCCACACCACATGTGACTAGTCTTGCAGCTCTGCTCAAGTGCAACCATCCTACATATTCATCTGCAAATTGAAAATTAGACCATCTTCAACTGAAAATCTCCTTTTTCACTCCAAAATATCATGAAACTAAAAAAATGTTGTGATTCATCTTCAATCAAACTCCATTTTGTCCCCTTTTGCGAAGGTAATGATTTGTCGCTTCTTTCACGCGTTTCTTCAGCAAGTTCGGTACAGACAGAAAAATAGCGAAGATCAACAGTGCAGCGTCAATATTGGCGTCCCATTGTTCACCCTCAACCAAATAGCAGAAATTTTATCGTTCGGCTAGAGCTATTGAGTGACGCCATTCAAGCGTTTGAAGTTCGGTTGGAGATGCCCTTATAACTATGACAATGTGGGCTAGCATCTTTGCTACATCCTCAAGTCATATTGCAACTAATGAATTGACCCTCATATATGACATCAACCCCATGATCACATTCATTACCTCTATGTTATGGGGTTGTTTTATGATTAACAATTGAGTGCCATAGTTTAGGGGAAAATAATTTGTGTTCCTAGTCATGGCATCAAAGCTAAGGAATAAAACTATTCTTCAATCGAAGTGACTATTGGTATGAACTTTGAACAAAAAAATTGAGAGTAGGATGGTGCCGAATGTTGGAGATATGCACACCACCTACATTGTGAAATTTGAAGATCCCAAAGGTGTGAACATCATGAATTTGGTATAGTGGTTTTCTTCTTTTGGAGCAACTTACTTGCTTGTTTCTGCACTTCTTCTCAAAATTTTAGACTGATATTTTTATTGGATGATGATGTAAATATGCATGTTTGATGAAATTTTTAACATTTTATTTTTGGTTGAAATTTGATTCTCAAATGTCAAGTTGCTGGAACTATAATATTTGTATATTATTGGAATTTTTGT